GATAAAAGTAGAAAAAAGGGGGCTAAATGGTCAGAGTGAGGTGGAATGGAAATACATCTGTCGAACAGTGATTTGAGGAGCCTTGGAAGAGGCCAGTTCTTGTAAAAGAGACAAGTCGGCGTATCCGATGTGGTGCAGCAGCATTTTGAACGGCATAATGTGAGAGGCTGCAGAAGCATCAGCGACGGGGGAGAGAGGTGGGTTAGGTGGAAAATTGGAAGGTTGAGATGGTGAAACAGTGAAATCGAACGGCGTGGAGACTCTTCAAGGTCCTGGAGGAGAGGAAGGTGGTCTGAAGATGACGGCGAATTAGGCCTGCGAGCCATAATAGGTCTAGCGCTCAGAATTCAAGTAAGGTGAATTAAAAAAACTCTAGACGTGTGTGTTAGCAGGGTTAGGGTTTAAGTAGGAAAAAGATAATTGAATGATAGAGGAAGGGGTGAAGCACCACCCACTTCTCCCTTAGAATCACCTATCGGTTTCCATTAAAAAACAGAAAATCTTTACAATTTTTAAAATTTTTTACATCCTAAAAGGCCCACACTAAATACTTTAGATGAAGTCTTAAAATGTATTTAAAATGCCACAGAAAGATTTTCAAGCCAAAATGCTTTAAACGTACTCGACAAACTTATGACCCTTAGTGAAAATATGTGGGATAAAAATATCTTTTGAAATTTCTCACACATTGTGGATTATTGTACACTAAAGTCGTTTCCTCACGTACAGTACCTTCAGCAGTGTGTACGATTTCCTTGGCCTTTTCTTCTGCATATTGAAAAATAAAATGGAAAAATACATTAAGGGATTAGAATACGATAATATAAACAGGGACTTTCTAAAGACTTTTCTTTTACTGCTGCCTTTGTAATGAGTAAATTAAGGTATTAGTAGGTAAAGAGTACTTAATTATATCAAACCTGTCCCAAATGTTTGTGAGTTATCATGCTATTTCTTTGCACTAAATTTGAAGGGCAACCAAATTATGTTTTAGTTTAAATTTATAAAACATGATACTCTGTGACATGTATACTTTCAGTGTAATTGCATGATGTCTGCCAACAAAAAAAAAAACACTATAAATACCAACAAACATCTGAGGAAATTTAGGAGGAAGCCTCAAGGAGAGTCATCTGCATGGGACTGTCTTCATAGGCACATTGATTTAAATAAAGACAGAAATAGGAATCTCTGTGGCAAGGAAAATAATATAAGACATCTCTTCAGCTAGTTTCCAGGGTAGGGTTGTGTTACTGGCAACCTAGAAAAAGCTCCAAGGCACAGCTTTGTCTTTTTAAAATGACTTTTTTTGTTGGGGCTGCATATTTGTCAACAGTTATACTCATGTGTGGAGCAGCCAGAGGAGAGCTCTATCAGCCATTAAGCAAAAAAGCAGCAGTTGCTAGTGGGATATTTACTGAATTAAATATCACACAGTATACACAGGAATAAAGGTTTTACTATTTATCTGAATAAAAAAAATGTTACCTTTATGCATAAGAATATTTTATTCATAAAAGTCACGTAAAGCTGTTGTTGTTGTTAATATCAGCCACTATTTACTTTAGTGCTTCTAAGGCTTTCCGCAAAGCAAGAAGTAGCACATTCACCATACATATACTGTACTGTACATACTTGTGACTTTTCCTTTGGCTTTCTTGACTAGAAGGAAAACACATGACATGTCCTTAAAATAATCACAGCTACATTTTTTTATTTTAAAATTTGCTAGAAATTGAAAACTGTATAATACAAAAGATATAAACATAAAAATGTGAAATATAAAGAACACAGAAGAACAACGGGGTTATTCCATATCACACCAAGACCCGTTTGGTGGAAATGTAAGCTGCATTATCTCCGACTAATCCGAGAGTCTTGTTATTGTATATACTTAGGAAGTGGTGTGATGTGAGAATGGCATTTCTCCACCTTTTCATGTCTAGCAAGAGCAGTTCTGAGTCATTTGAATGGAGCTTATAGGGAGGTCATGTGTATACTGTAGGCTTGATAATTACCGTGATGTGCATACAGGGAGCGGAGATGGCATGGCAGTGCATTTAAAGCTGAGAATAGAAAAATAAAACGAGGATTGTGGAGGACGAACACATTACCCATGTGGTTGAAGTCAGTATTTTTGGATGCCTTCAAAAACATGGGTGGATGAGATCCTTGCTACTAACCACAACAGACTACATGTTTTTGGAAAATAAAGAACATTTTATAACCAGCTGGGATATGAATAATCAGCCATAATCAAAACTATTAGAGGATGCAGGTCTTGTCAATGAGTAGGTCGCATCTCGTCAGACTGGCTCAGCTGACATGGAACAAGCCCGACTCTGTTACTACGGCAACACTCTTATACTCGAACGATCAACCATCTGGTCACAGAACTCTTTTATTTTAAATACTTCAGTGTTATATACAGAAGTATAGTTAAACCTGTACATGCAAACTCTTCACAGAAGGCGACCCAATCCGGAAATCAATTCCATATCCATATCCCAGAAGCTGTAAGATGCCAGCCGGTCATACCATCCGCTATATATGTATAGAGTGAATATAAAGCCTCATACAGTACGTGGTAACGGGGATCTACACACATAAAACACCCAGATGATAACTGTTTAAAGTATAGGGAGCTTTATTTAGAAGTTTTGTCACACCCTCATTAGTAAAAGATTGTAAAAGCTCGTTACCAACCACCACAACCACTGTGGATCCCCTTCTTATATAAACAGACATACTCACACATCTATGTATATAATGCACATCCCAACCTTTATTCAATAATTTAATCTGTGACCAACATCCACCAGGTGAAACGTATTTTCAAGTGTTAGAGGCCCCATTTAGGAGCCTCCTGTGGCAGATGCATGGTTATTGCTCGGTTAGACTCTCCAAAGGAAATTTGTCCTACCTTGCTGAGCTGGTTTTTCAACTTTTGCAGCCTTCGATTCTGTTGGGGAGAATAATGTTAAGTAACATAACTGACCCAATTAATTAGAGTTTGAGCCGTTAACAAGTGAACACTTTACGTGGGCAATGTACACACACAATTGAAAGTCATACTAATATTAGGGGTTCAAACCACCTTGGACATTATAATATAATAAAGAAGGTCTTCTTTTCTGTAAATGCCAGAAAGCAGCCACTTTCACACCTAATCAGTTAGTTTTGGTGATGGAGTGATAACCAAGAGCCCAGGGCTAGCTTTTCTTTTACTTTGTTACAGTATGCTCTTTGATGGTGGATGTATTACTCACACTGTTACAAATGAAAAGCACACTTTTCCTCCCCGTTCACTTATGTTTGGAGTGTGTTTCCAGGACAGTGACAACACCTGTGGTGACCTAACATTGCGGCATCACAGTGTATATATTATATATAGTGCTTACTGTACGTACTGTACAGTATATACTGGGTATCAAGTTTCATTACACACTGTTGGTACTTTGGCTTGATATGAGATGGAATAGTTTAAACCCAGTTTTAATTACTGAGCCCCAGCTAAGACATCAGAACATATATTGTACAGTGTACAAACTGCTGATTTGATTTGATCTTTTAAAACATAAAGGGAGATGTTATCATGAAATTCTGAAAGTGCATTATGAAAAGCAAAAGAAAAGATAAATAAATAAAATAAAATAAAATTAGATAAGTGGGTGTAGTTTGTCCTACCTTGCTTGGCTGGTTTTTCAACTTTCACAGCCTCTGACTCTGTAAGGGAGAACAATGGTAAGTAACACAACTCACATAATTTATTGCAGTTTGAACCGTTAACATGAACGCTTTCCATGAGCATGCACAGTATAGTTATACTAATGTTAGGGCTTCTTCTGCTAAAAACAAAGCACACAAAGGGTTATATTTTAATTATTGTTCAGAAAGGAATTTGCAACATTGTCTCATGCAGTTGTTATTGTGGCAACAATCTTGGAATTGTAGGTTTAAAAAGAGAAAATGCCATTATAATAAAAACTGAATTATAATAAGATTACTATTTACCAATGAACCAAGGATAATCAGTAACTACTGTAAATACATTACAAATGCCCTTAACATTTAGTTAATGACTCTCTGAAATCTTGTGCACGAAATTCCATAAGCAATTTGAAGCTTTGGTGTCTGGCTTAATGAACCCACAGTAATGTCTGCTCTTTCTAAAATAATTATTCTACATTTAGGATTGGAAGTGTCCATAGAGAAAAAGGTCTATCACAAAATAATGGACTAGTAAAATGATACATTTTCACACATCATTGATATTTAAGGAGTCACTATACTTTACAGCTAGTGAATGACGAGAACCATTTTAAACAGCTCCCAGGGTCTGCCCCCGTTCACGTGAGAATTCAGGTATTTGTACTTTACGTATGATACACATTTCTATTTGAGAGGTCTAACGTCCTTTTTCCAAACCTGACATTGATTTTGTCAGCAGTAGGAAAATTGAAATGGAAGGATTGAGTGAAGGCACTATTAAAAAAATCAATATTGCAGTACCTAATGGTCATATTTCTAAATTAGAAACATTTTCCAAAGATATTGTTTGTTCTTGTAAACAGTTACTGCAGTTTTTGTATTCTTGTGTTATATTTGTATTATTTGTTTGCAAAAGGATCCAATTAAATGAGTACAATAGCATGTATTCTCATTTTATGTTTCTTCTATTTAAAGCATGATTATAATAAATGCTGTTTGTTGTTTTCTTTTATTCATTTTACTTTTATTTTGATATTTTCTGAATATTTTAATTAAGCAATAATAATATTTTAATAAAGTGTTGAAACAAGCACACACTTTTTCAACCTCTTCATTATGACACACTGCATTGTTGTCATAATGTACACATTTCATTCAATTTGCCTTTATAACCGATAGCCTGCTAGTGAATAATAATACACACTGTACATATGATATGACATTAAACCTGTAACCATTTTTCAACAGCATATACAGGTACAACCAGTTTCTCCCTTTCAAGCAGCATGCTAGTTTAAGCATTTTTCACAACATTGTTCAAGATTATAAATACATACTTTTTTCTTTAGGTTTTTGAAGTTTTTCTGTATGAACAAACAAAGTAAATGCATAAACATACTGTAATTTATAAACTGTACATACAGCATCAAATACAGAAGAGTTGTCTATAATGTTATTAGCCTAACATAAAAGCTAGTCTTAATGACAGTGTGGGAACAGGCAAAGGTTTATTCCAAGAAAAGAGACACAGCGTTTTGGCTGTGGAGCCCTAATGAGGTTGCCACCTGAAGACGTCTCCACAGCTGAAACGTTGTCTTTCTTTTCTTTTCCATTCAGCAGAGAATGAACCTTTACTTGTTCCTTTGTAGCCTACACATGCTGATGCAACTCCCTACATGAACTTCTTAAGTGGCAGTGTTGCAGCTAATTAAAGTGCATTTTGATTTGACTTAAACAGTCAAGTCACAATATCACATTCTGAAAACTAACTTTAATTTTCAGATAAATCATGAGGTTTGAACTCTGTCACATTCATGTTTAGAAATTTATTTTACTCCTAGCGACACAATGTTTGATTATTTAGACTTTCCAGCATTTGATAAACCAAACCTGAAAAACAAAATATACTGTATAAGAGAATAAGTAGTAAAACAATCCAGGCCAAAAGCGACAACTTCCTAAGGAAAGGACTATAGTGACTTTATGCCAGCGTTAATAACATAACAACAAAACACAAAAGGAGAAATTGCTTTGTTATTTCTTGTCCATTAAGCATTTGACAGGCTATTGGAGTCTAAAAAACTCTAGGGAGATTCTGTTCCCAGAAAAGAGAGTCCTGGAAGGTTAGTTCATCGGTATGCTGGGGTTTGCATCATGTAATTGGAAGATTTGGCCTGCCTGTGTTTAGACTCATTATCATTGAGAAAAACAAACCCTTGAACCAACCAACTTTCCTGACTGAGTTGCATGAAAAATTAAATGACATGGTATCATTAAAATGTTTACTTTTCACTATGAATCAGAGCAATATAAGTAAATGTCAGAATCATTACCACCTAGAGAGATGACTGGGTGTTTCCAGACATAAATTGACTAATTGATTGATCAAACTATCAGACATCATATCATGCCAATATACTGTAGCAATATAGGAAAGCAGAATGACTGAATTTCCCTAATAACGATTCATTTAAAAAAAATTCATGTCTTAAAACGAGTTTTTTCTGTTTATGGTGATCCATGTTAATTTAGTATCCTGATGTGGGATTTCACTGGCTATTTCTTTATTCTAAGATGTATTTTTGATGATCAACTAATTTTGTATTGAAATTAATTTAAATTTAATCAGTTTAATTGTGCAGCATATACTGTACAGCATCAACACTGGCTTGTAACAGTCAGTTTCTGCGTTGGACTCTTATATGATGGATTCAGATTCTGGCATGCTTCTGCACTACTCTGTGAAAAGCAATTGCATTTCTCTTCTGCATTGAGAGAGATTTCCAGCCAAGTCCTAGTGCAGAAGCTGGATGTGAAAGGCAAATAATTCAACATTTTCCATTTATATTCCATGTATGGCTGATTGCTAGAGTTGCTTTGTTGTGCCTGTAGTACAAATATTTTCCCCCTGTGAACCCTGTTTAACTTAAACCTTTATAGGAAGTTGCAGTAAAATATAATTGCAGTTGTTGTTGCAGTTTTCTCTAAGGATATATTAAATGAAAAGCTTTATGGTATGTTTATGATATTTTTTAAATATTAATTATATTTTAAAATATTGAACACATTGTGAACATAAAATAAATATAATATTTTATCCTCAAAGTACAGTAGGAGCTATCACAGCATGAACTGGGGTTTTCTGGTATGTTGCCAAACAGTAGATACCGTTTTTTTAACATCATGAATATCAGGGGATACTTGTAAGCAGTATCACTCACAACAAACAGAAATCTAACCTGGTCTTGCTTTGTGCATATACAATTATGAAAACTGTTTAATATTGAAATTTAAATTTACCTTTATATGTGTATTGATCTACTTTATATTACTGCTAGGTGTCTACTAGATGACATCTTTAACAAGACAACAAACTGTAATTGTAATAAGTAAAGGTTTATTCCGTGCTGAAAAGAGAAGAAACACAATGTTTCTGATGTGGACCATTCTTCAGGTGTGTTTTTTCAGCAGCTGCCTACTTGTAATTGCAATAGTTGTAATTGTTATGCATTTGTAAAACAATGTTGAAAGAAATATATTTTAAATTATATGCTTTGAAAAGTGATGATTCTGCAAATAAAGAACAAAAACAATCTAAATTTTCACCCCTACAGCTAGCTTAAAGGGGTAAGAAATAACTCTTATCTTTCTCTCCCGGCCCTTTTAAATATACAGTTTTCAATCTTCTTACATTCTGTCAGTAAATTGAATAACAACCCAATATCCACGATAATCACAGTATATATTTTGTCTAGACTGGCATGGAGGGAAGGTAGTAAGACGTCCTGGCTCACGGCTCTTGAATCTTGGGTGTCATGTCTGCCTGTTCTGCACCTAACCCTTTGTTACAGTACGTGCTGTAAGGCTCTTAGTGCCCTGCACCTGACAGGTGCGCCCCCAGGGTCCAGTGCTGTGCCCGTTGTCTGCTGGGTGAGGCTCCGGTTTACTGCGATCCTGTATTGGTCTAAATCAGGGTCCTGTCCTGTCCAGTGCTGGTCCTGGTGCCCCACAAAGTGTTGGTTTTCACTTCATCCCACCTTCATTAGATCACTGAAGCCTCATTTGATCTTCAGTTGATCTTACTTGATCTAAGAAGTTGCTTCAACTGAATATTTGCATTTCGTTTCCAGTCACGAATTTGGGATTTTATTCTCCTCACACAATATGGCAGTTAAAACCTCCAACATGAGAGATGGGAACAAACTGTTCAATTTAATCTTATTATTAAGCCAATGGAGGGTCTGATTGTGAGACTTACTGTAACTTGGCTGGAACACAAACCAACAGGGGGTCACTAGGACTGGGACTGGAAACATTGGGCTAAGTGGTGATTGAAACAGGATGTTTGGGTGAATGTTTTCTCTAAAAGTGGCAACATCGTGGTGAGGTTGAAGGAATGCCAAGACGGAGAAAGTAGATCAAATCATTTCAAACCATTTTTTAGCCAGCAGCAGAAAACAGGCCTACATTTCAGAAAGTCTCTGGAACCCCAAACTCTTATGCCATATACAGTACTGCTGTCAGAACCACACCCGATTCACATTACTACAGTAGATGAAATAATGTTCGTAAAGATGGGGGCATCTTGAAAATATGCTGAAATTCGACCCGGAAAGGAATAAATCAGTATAAAGCATTAATGTACTGTATAGGAAGCATTATAAACCTTGAAATGTCATTCAGCTAAGCTGACATTCCATTGGCACTTTTCTACTTACAGTTTATGCTTAATATGCTCCTATGTTAGCAGCCTAATACAGATTTTGAATTGCAATGTTAGAAATCTATCAGGTTTTGTTTCTTCCTGTTCAAACGTAATGAGCTCCACAGCATATGTATCGTGGCGACAATATGTTTTTTCACTTTACTGTCAGATTTAGACTATGAAGCCGGTTAAATTCAAATTAGTAGGGAGGTTAGTTCTTCAAACATCTGTTATAATTTAGAGAAGGCTGTTTATTGGAACTAAAGTTTTACTGCTTCTTAAAAGTACTCAGTCTGGGTTCTTGCCCCCTGGCTGGAAAGCTGCTCCATATACACGCAACTCTTAGTACAGAAGCATTTTCTGTTCTCTATTGTAAAGTTATTCCCTATAAATGTGTAACTTCTATCTAAGATAAAATCAGATCACTTTATCGACCATATACATTTTCTTGTATTAGGAATTTGTGTTTTCGCATACCCCAGCTTGCTTTCCGTGAGACACAAAGACAGGGAGAGAAGCTTAGGGTCATAGCGCAGGGTCAGCCATTTATATGGCACCCCTGGAGCAGTTGGAGTTAAGGGCCTTGCTCAGGGGCCCAACAGATTAGGATTCCTCTGCCTGCTGCAGGATACGAACCAGCATATTCTAATGCAGAAAAGTGCAGCATGCTACTGGCTGTTATTTGCAGAGTACTGTAGGATCTGTAGGGTGTTTCATCATAAGAACTGACAGCTTTCTTTGTATGACACCCTATAGCTGCATTTTCAGATTTTTCTAACACTTTTCTGACAAATATCATTAAGCTACTTTACCATCTGCAGTATAATGAGCTCTGCATAAAATACTGCATATGGACAAAATGTCTGCAAGCAATACTATAACACTTCTAAATCTTCTCAGATTTTCATTTGGATCCGTTTTGTCATGAAGTCTAACTTCTAAACTATTTGCGCTCAAGCGCTGCTTCATAAATGCAAGACTTTCCCTTTGAAATGTGAAGTTTGGGAAAAACAGATGCTCTCATGGGAAACAGCATTTGTGACATACAGTAGAAACATAAATATATGAGGTGATTCTTTATTAATCCGAGACTGTCTGTTTCAGGTAAAACTAGAATATACTGTTTCCTGCAAACATATCATTGCTTTTCACTGTTGTCTGCCTATAAAGGTTAGTCACTGGATACATTTTACAACTTTTAGGCCTGCTTTCTTCTTACCTTTTTTCTCAGCAGAAGATGCAGGTTTTGTCTTTTGTTTTTCTGACTCTGTTAAACCACACACAATATCCATTTGAAGCATTATAGTATATCATAGTAGTTCCAGTACATTACAGGCATTTACAGTATCAAGGAGGGAGAGAAAAAATATTGAATTCTAAAAATATTAAATAATGAGTCTGACATTGTATAATTAAATATTATCAATGCACATACTGTACACACATGGCTGTGTGATGAAAACATGAGGGATTTATTTTATGTTTCTTTCTTATATAAATAAAACTAAATAAAGTCCTTATAGACCTTTTAAAACAACTATGATTTCATAATCTTCAACTTACTATTTTGCTACCACATTTTATTGCAAAGGTATTTATTTTTGCTCTCAGAAATATAAAGCATTGGTTGTGTAATGTATGTAATGGCAATAACGCCAGTGTCAGTTACTGTACCTTGATCTATTCCTTTTGAGAGCTTGTCTTCCTTCTTTACCTCCGACACTGAAAGATGGAAAGGGTTTTATTCCAAGGCCATGTGGCAGAGATTTGCAATGATGGTAAGATAAAATAAACTATTTATGCTACACTCTGATGGCAAAAAAAAACAACAAAACAGGAGCCAGTTTTCCCTGACACCATTCTCCAATTAGTCCATTTATCGTACAGTGCATGTACTAGCTTCATTCTCTCAAGTACTGCCAAGAACATTTACTGCAGCATATTATTCAGCTAATTAAAATAGGTGCAGCAGGTATTACTTTTATTCTACTACACTGGCTTAATAAATGTTATTGTTTTTGACTTATTTTAACTTTTAGAGACCTTAATCTTGCTATTTAAAAAATGCAATATTCCACATGTAATTATGCAAGAAAAACTCACCAAAATATATCCCACTGCCAGACATTAGGGTCTATACTCTAATGCATTTATAATGTAAAATATTTTTGTTTGTTACATTTTAGGTAGATTCTCTACTTTAGGTAGATTCTCTACTTAAATGGAAAACTGAGGTGTTCAAATTTGTACTGATTTTAAAAGTAAACGGCTTCCAAATCCACTTAGTGTTTCCTAAAATTAAAGAATTTCTTAATCTCCATGAAATACTGAATATTAACTATTCATGGTAAAAAAATCAGTTCATATATATATATATCAAACTATGCATGTGCTCAAAAATATACAGTATTTTAAGAGCAACTGTTTCTACAAAAGTACAATCATTCCTTACAATGACGCCTTTCGGTGGATCTCTAAATCTAAATTCTGGTGGAAAGATGTTATATGGAATCAGACTGCTATAAAGCACAAGTATAGTTAAAGAAGAACTGCAACCCCATTATATTTTGGAGTTAGAAAAAACCGGCATCGATGAGTGCATGTGAAAACACATCACAAAACAAACAACATTTCCAGGTGCAGTACGTGAGCTCCATATTCTGCGATTCAGATCGAGGCAACAAAACGTCCGCAGAGGTGAAGTTCCCCTACGTTGTAAGCAAGCAGGCTTGTGAATACATCTCTTTTAGTCTTCTAGAAATATTGCTCTTGATTTCGAGGTGATTTTGCTGACAAATACAACTTACCTTGTTGCCTCCGCATGTAGATCATATAGGAACGTTTCTACGATGAAAAGGCTGCTGCAAAACCTGTACTTTTTCTCCTGTACATCACATTACGGAGACTAGTGAGCAGGAAGGACTGTATAGTACTTTCACAAAGTTCGCAATTTTGTGCTTAATTCGGAATTTGTATAATTTTGTGATACCATCAATTAATTTATTTTACCACCGATATTTGATAACAGGTCTGAGAAATTAAATCCTTTAAGTGCACATTACATGTAGTGATCTTGTCTTTTGTAACAATGAATGTAGTAATCTGCTGTAATTTAGAACTAATCTGAAATTATTAGAAATGACAAATAAGGATCAGCTACTTTTAGAAACAATACCTTTCTTCAGATGGGCTTTTTCTTTGGCAACTTCTGATTCTGAAAAAAAAATGTCGTGCACTTACAGTATAAGCTCATTTATAAACACTTTTCTGTGAAACTGCTTTGCATGTTCATAGGAATCATCATCACATTGTCGTAACAGAGTAGACAGTTTTTTTTTTAATTCAAACACATTAAGAAAAATTGAAATAGATTTGTTTCACTGTGTGTTACAGTGTGACCAGCATTATATTTTCAGTGACTTATGTGTCTAAATCAAACAATATATGCATTATACATAAGCTTTTAGACTTCATTTCATATAAACAGTTAAGTATTTGACATGAATCCGGAAACTGGAAAACTGGGTAAAAATGTGTAAAATTGTATCAGGTTGAAAACTTTTCTGCTGCCTATTTTCGTTTTTCATTTGCTTATCTCTCCCTCAGCAAAGGGTTTTTTGTGCAGCTGCACATCCACAGAGACCAGGCTGCAGTAATGTATGTACAGTGCGGCGATAATTGCTGCCAAAGGTGTTTCCACCAAGGACTGACTCTGAGCACTAATGCAAAGAACTTATTTTAGTTCTTTTGCTGGTTTTGCTGATGTTTAACTTTGGCCAGTTTGAAGTTTTGATTGAAATATTATCTTTAAATACTTCGGATACACAATGTTTAATTCAAGAAAATGGGAAATTATGAGGGGGTGGGAGAATACTTTTGCAGGGCTTTATATTGTATCTGCTAGAGTTAATACACATCTTTATTTCAGTGAGCAACCATGAACCAACAAGGCGCCATTGGAATGGGACGGATATGTCTGCAAGAAACCTTGATTCCAGTCATTGCAACAAAGTCATCTTAACGTTGCTTCTCAATGGTCATCTATCACATAGATAGAGAATATACCCTGTAGCTCTAAACATCACTTCTGGAGAATTGAAGATTCTGCCTCAGCCACTTCTGTTATCAATATAACAGAAGTGTAATCCTCATTACACTCTCCACACTGCAGTGGTATCTCTGCCTACAGAATACATTGATCCTTCTTGTGTGGGTGTGGCACTTTGTAATTAATAATTAATGGCATCGTGGTGCACCATATTATATCTTCCATAGTTTATTCATATTTGACTGTTTTTATGGTATTCTATCAATCAGCATATAAACAGCAGAAACACAATACTAGGAAACTTGTTAAAACTACATTAATTGCTGAATTTGAATCTTTTGTTTTCTAATTATTTATTTCTTCACTGTTATTCTACAATTTGTTTTCCGTAACTATATCTGATTTTGGGCAAATTGTTTAATAACCTCAACCAGATACATTCAGCACTTATTAGCTTATTGCATTATTAGTTTAACAAAAGCGCACATTTTACCATTTGGGCACATTGACATATGCATTTATATTTGGGGAATTCATTTCATGCAGCAGACATGTGGCTCTGTGAATCACATCTACTAGAAAGACACAATTACCATTATTATAAGCATTTAGCTCAACTTATTGTTCAGATATACTGCAGCCCCATACAGCAGTTGAGCTTCTGAAAATGCACAGATATTATGTCATACAGATTCCCAGAAGACAGTTTTCTCATTGTAATTGAGTAACAAAAATATACTCTAGATTGAAAAGCATAGAATTAAAAGCTGGGAAATGTCTTATTACAATCCGCGATTGTAATAATAATGTATTATTATAATCCGCGAGGTGTTTTATATGGAATTCCCCTGTGTTCAAAGGTTTCTTGTGGTTCAGAATGTGTCTTATATGGTATCATACAGTATATTCTTTTATCAAAGTATTTTCAGGAAGACGCAACACCCACTACCTTTCTTTGGAGGAGACGGTCTGGGTTTTTCTTTGGCAACCTCTGTTCCTGTCAAACACAAAGCCAAAATGTATTCATTTTTAAGTGCTTCGGTCAAAGTTTCAGTTTAAATTGCTATGAAAACATAAAATATTCCTATTATTTAAAAATTTAGAAACTCTTATAACATTGCAAAAGATGAAGGAAATGAAATTAAGACATACAGTATTTAGAACACTTCCAGTCATTTATAGATTGACCAAAATTTTATTCCATGCACCAGTGTTTTGAAACCAGTTCAGAATAATGTTAGAAATCACAATTTCATTATATAAAAAATACTTTTGGGATAATATAGAAAAAATACCTTTCTTTGGAGTAAGTGTTCTAGCCTTTTCTTTGGCAACTACTGGTTCTGTAAAATAGATAATATTCTCATAAATATGACATTCGTTGGCTCTTTTAGTAACACTTGCAGTTTATTTTCAAAAGCAATCATGTCATTTTAAATTACCATGCTTTTCCTAAAGATAAAGTAATTTTTTACATTCAAGCAAATTTAGAAAACCTATTGACAGAAAATAATCAATTGATATTTCAATTAAATTAGATTTTAATTAAATAATCTTTAAAATAATCTTTATGTGATAAAACAAGCTTTCAAAATATTCATTAAATCAGTAAAAAAAATGGAATATACAAAACAACTGACAGTACCGTGTTTTAGAGGTGGAGGCCTGGCCTTTTCTTTGGAAATTTCTGTTTCTGTAAATTTTAAATGATATTCTTTTTTAACTCAGAAGCCTTCAATTTCTTTATTCACATCTACAGATTAAGTCCTACAAACATTTATATATGTCTTTGCTATAGATGTCTTAGATTATCCTGTCTTCTAGAATTACTGTAAATACATTTGTAAAATAACCTTAACAAAAATCTATTGAGACCAAAAAGGACTGAGTGATGGATTGACAAAAAGCCAGAAAGATTTATTGCTTTGTTTTCTTTTGTTATAAAAGTACCGTGCTTAACAGTTTTTAATAGTTAAATAAACATGTCATACAGTAGATGACAGAACATTACTGGTATATGATATTTCTTATGTTTTTGATATTTTAAATGGACGATTAATATACTGTATTTCTGTATTTAACTATAAAATGCGTACTGTACTGCAATGTACTGCACCTAAAGCTGTCTTACAATTTCAAGCACAAAATGTGATTTAAAGATTCTACTGTCAATAGTCAAACCCATGCAGAACATATAGCAATATATACAGTACAATAATATAATGCAGTATCTATATTACTTGCACTCATTAGTACATACATGTAAGTTTTAAATATACTATATATATTATATAGAATACCTGTTTTAAGCATTTTTATTAGTTGCACCTGGAAACCCTTTTTTTAGAACCATAACGTGTATTGAAATGACTCACTGATTGATTGTTTCATTCACTTGCTTATTCGTTTGCACTCAATATTGTGTTTTAACAAACCTGAACCAGCTGGGTCTTTAATTGATTTATTGTGCTCTGTTTGATGCACAATCACTGAATGACACTCTCTGCAGAAAGAAAAGGTGGTACTTCTGTTCAGTGGTTTTAAGGTTTGTATAAACCTGTTCATTCATTCTTGAGAAGATATTGTCCATGATTGATGAGGGAACTTGGGCTTTATAACTTTGAAACAGCTTTCATGTGGCTTTTACATTCTGCAAGGGCTTCTGTGCCATTAAAGCAAACAGAAGTGAGCCAGTTTAAAAACCGACTGTCTGATCACTGAGGCTGTCTACCTAAATATTCTTTTTCCCTCATATCAAATCCAAATTTCTTTAACCAGCGTGTCTGACAAACCCACTTAAGCTTTTGAAAGAGCACAATTTTTAATGTTTTTTTTTATGTTTAAACCTTATAATGTCAATTTACACAAATGGGCAACCCTTTAAACTGAAATATATGGAATTAGTAAAGTGAAATACACAATTGTTTAACAAGTGTTAAACACAATTGTTTAAAGTACAGTAATTTAATTTTGTACAAGGATTGACTAATAAACCTTGACTAAATTATGCAGGAGGACCTTTTTTTCTTGCTCTTAGCTAAATTAGGCTGGAGTGAGACTCCACATCTTTTTGCTACTGTAAATCTGAAGTAAGTACGTTTGTGCCCATCTGAAACCAAGTCAATCCAAACAAGAGATAAGGGTGGTTTGTTTTTACTTATCCTCTTTAGCATCTGAAAGGGAACAGAACACTTTTATTTAATCGATTTAATCTTTGCTGATGGCCTGTCTTTCTCACACCTGAAGAAGGCTTCACAGCCGAAACATCGTGTTTTCTCTCATCTCTTTTAAGCGTGGAATAAACCTATTACTTGATCCTTTGCAGACTATGCCTGCTGATGCAGCTACCCACTTTTATTTTCCTATTTCTTAAGAAATTAAAAAGCCATTAATTAATTAATTAAGCCAACTGAGAGATGTATTTAATGGTTACATATTAATGTTTGACATTAATTTTGTCCTCATTGCAACTATACATGTAAAACTGCTTTCCATAAATGAACAAACCTGCATGCCATACTGTATATTACGTCTGTGCAAAAAGGATGTAAATAAATGAAATATTTGAATGTCAGCCAAGACATTGCATTATATTTAATCATATATAGAATTAGTGTTAGTAATTAATACCTTCTTTATAAATAATTTGAAAAAAAAAAACAATTTGTGCATAGCTTTCGCATAGCTTGAATGAAACTTTAGCCAAGCATTAAAGCTCATAAAACAGTAAGCATTTCTAAACTGACATCCAAAAATAATTTTGCAACTTTATGAAGCATACTTTTTCTTTTAGTTTGTTCTTTTTTCACTGTAGAACAAAGAAATAGCAAAAATCAGTATGTTCACCTTTTCATTCTACAAGCAATAACCAAGGAGAAACTTAACATTGAAAATAAGAGACATTTCTTTAAAAATAATTGTATTAACAAGTCCCTTCATCACTCGTAGCTGTATTTGTCCTTCATATAAATACTGTACATTCAAAGGATTATATGATGAGACATTAAAAATTGTGCAAAAATGTGAATTTTGAAGTAGATTAATTGGTTGTAAAATATAAATAAATTAGATGTAAAATACATAAAATATCCATTAGCCCTCCATAAAACTGTGCAAAAATGGATTTAGATTCCAATTAGAAATTGACAATAAATGCGAATAATTTCATACCATTTCAAACATTATCTACACATTTCTGCAATAGACTTCATCTATCAGCATTTTATTAAACAGAAATGGATCATGGAACATAGTACATTTTAGACATCCTCTTTTGTAGACTATGGTTTCTTGATACCCAAAGAGTTTTCTTTTGCAAAACTCAGAATGTTAGAATAAACAGCCTTAATCTTGGCCTCCCGATGAACTTTTTTATCACCTTTTTTATCTGAAAATTTTTGAATATTGAAAACCAGATTAGGGTCTCCATGGTCAAGACTTGTTTTCTGATACACTTATCAGATCCAACTCATCTGGTACCTTAGGCGGGTCAGGATGTTGAGTAACTTTGGCCAAGATTAAAAAGGACCATTTATACTGTATGCCAGCCACTTTAAGAAGCTCATTTTTGTTTGCCAGTGTCTTTATTCTTTTACTTTAGCGAAAAGCACCATCAAGTACCGTGCTTGCAAATTGTGTTTGTTGAAAGGGTCAAACTGCATGTGCAAGATACATCTGCTAAGATGGGATCTCTGTCTCATACATTCATAGAGAGTATGAACTGATTTAAATGTGATTTAATCTGGTATTTAAGGCAAATTAAGAAAGAAAAGACCGTCGGAAAGACAGGCTGTAGGCTGTAAAATGATCCCAAAGTTCCATCATACTACAATTCTCTATGATTTCAAAATATATTAGAACAAGCTGTGAAAACGTGAACTCCTGCTGGGGCTGTCGTGTCTTGTCCATTGCTCATTGCTGTTGTTCATAGATGCTGTTGATTTCCTGCCTTCTTGCTGTTGTGTTCCTCATGCTGGGATGCGGTTGTGTGTCCTTGTTTCTCTCTGTGAGCATTATGAACAGACAGCTGCATTTTTGGCCTATTGCCGGTGTTTTTGGTGTTAGGTTTCAAGTCTGTACTCTCACTGTCAGTCTCTATATCAACCTTCATATCAGAATAGTGTGGCTGCTTTCTCTGGGGAATCAGTCAGCATCAATGACCAGGGAGCACTTTCCTTTTGAAATAAGACCTTGATTCTAAAAAAAGTTTCTTTCCTTCCAGAACACATACTGAAAGATTCAGTGGAATACTGCAATAGAATTGCACTGCAGGTTGACTCTTGCCTACAGTATGTTTTCATGAAAGATAGTCTTATCTCTTCAATGGATTGGAAGTGACTTAGTTATTAAGAAATGTAAAGAAATACTTATCGGGATATGCTTTGAAGTGATAGAGTGGGGAATTTGGAAATAATAAATAAAAAGGGAGATTTACAGTATGGGTTAAGATGGATATGAATCAACACATATGGTAAATACACGCTGAAACATCCAAGCACACACAGCACTGAGCTTAATATGGTGACAGCTTTGTGATACTGAAACTCTCTCCTCCCTCATAGATTATCTGCTGTTGTATTGCATCCATAATAAAGAGAGAGAGTGAAGTATAGAACATACAGTACATATCCTGAAAAAATCTTACTTATATTTTAAATAGTTTTTATCTGATTCTAATATTTTAATAGGGGCTGTTTTTTCTTTACTTTCTTGTGGCAAAAAATAATTTGGTTCTTAATTCACTTTATAATTTTTTCATAAATTATAAATTTCTTAATTACAATATTACACATATCTGGTGACATTTTTTTAAATTAAGTTAGAACTCTAGTTACAGTGTTATAGATCTGAATTTCAACCAGTGATAACAATCTTGGTCACAGATTAATCAAATTAATTAAAAAAACAGCTTTTGACATGTTCCCCAAACCTAAAGGTATGAGGGGGAAACAATCAAGACTGTTAATCAAAGCTCTTGCAATTAAATGATATTCAATAATGCTTGGTGACAACTTTTGATCCCACAGACTCAGTTTTTAGATACAATTTTCACGCTGTGCACTACGATATATTTTCAGATAGAACTACAAAACCACCCGTCCTAAACCTGACTTGGGCCCCAAAATCCACCGCCGAGCTTAACAATTGTCTAAGTACTGTGTGAATGCTAACCCTGACCCTAACCTGGGGTGTCAATTGAGCATTTCCGTAATCTACAGTATATCTGAGCCTCTCTGGGCATCGGATTTTAACATGTTTTCCAAACCAACAGGTACTTACAGTATCACTTAGAATATTAAATGCAATGTAAATTTTCTTTTAACAAATTTAACATTTCCAAGCACTCATTTATACAGATGACGATAGTGTTGTTATCCTTTATGTTTATAGATTTTAGTTATTTTATCATTAAGAAGGGCAGATATCCAATAATTTATCATCAATGGTGCTGAAATTTGTGTTCATCTTACAAATTACATAATGGATATTTCATTCTGTACTGGTGTAGCATTAATAATTATGGAGCAACCATAGAATGCTACAGTATGTTGTGTTACAAAACATTTGCTGGGCAGTAAAACTCTTCTTCTGAGTCTTACACTCACAGATATCTTTGAGCTTGAGCCTACTGTAGGAGCAACAAATGGAACGTAAAGTACTGTAGGATTTGTATTTACTGAATATGCCATTCCTTTCATCATCATTACTGTGCTTCCTGTTTAATAACAAAAATAACATATGAATTTATTTACTGATCTTGCTTGAATCACTTAAAAGATCAGTATAGACTCAGACAGACTACCAACCAAATGGTGATGAAGAAAGAAAGAAAGATGTTTTTCATACCTTTAGATACTTTAATGGTTGATAGTTTTTCTGTAAAACCAAAAAGGACAACATATTCATTAGCAAAGCTGATGCAAAAAAAAGTCTTAAGGCATGACTAGCAATCAATACAGAACATAATTTGTTACATGTACTGTATACAGTATGTTTCACTGGGAATCAAGATGTTGTTCTTAGTGGGTTTTGCTTTAAACATTTGACATGTTTCTATAGCTAAGGAGAACTATACTGTAGGTAAAATCCAATACAAACAAATCCACTACAATAAACAAAGGTTTCCAACAGATACCTTGATAATCTAGTACTGCCACCTAGATTATTACAAACTGAAAAAATAACTATAAATCCTGTGATATCAGCTAGAAAGAAAATAAAAAAATGTTTAAATGTCAGTTTGAAAACTTTTCTTCATACCGCATATTGCCTAACTGATTGGCATAATTATTGAAAAAACAATTGCTTTCCATTATTTTCAGCCAATAAATTCCAAGCTTTTTAAAAACCTTTTGCATATTTTAAAGTTTTTTTACATAAAACTCTGCCTGTGAATCATTGTCAGGAATGATCAGGAACACTGGTTGGGTACAGTATGTGGCAAATGGAAAAAAAATGCAGCAGGTGTTATTTTAGACAGCAGATGGTAGTGTTGTTCATTTTTTTTATTCAATATATACCAAGAATTTGGAACTGTGTTTGTTATATTTACTATCTTTTTTGCGCTTTTAGCTGTGAACACCTTACTGTAATGTGAAGGCAGTTTTTATATATTAGATAAGATTTCTAACAGGACCCCCTGGAAAAGAGATGATGATCAATAAAACCTTGTAAATATATATGTGTACTGTATATATTATAGCAACTGATTAAAAGCTTCTAAACAATAAAGATAAGGACATGAGTTACTGTTTTTTTTTTGGTAGAACAGTAAATCAAGCATTGAAAGGCTTTCTGTCATGATTTTTCAGCAATTCTCCATCTTTTTTTTAACCATTTCATGCAATTCAGGGTTGCGGGGGAGTTGGAGGCTGTCCCAGCAAGCAAGGGGAGCAGGGCAGGGTACACCGTGGACAGGACGCCAGTCCATCACAGGGCACACACACACAAAAACCCTGGACAGGACGCCAGTCCATCGCAGGGCACACATACAGACACAAACACGCACACACTCACACCAGGGCCAGTTAACCTACCAGTATGTCTTCGGACTGTGGAAAGAAGCCAGAGCACCCGGAGAAACCAACACAAACACGAGGAGAACATAGAAACTCCACACAGACAGCACCCCAGGAACTGAACCCAGAGCCCCAGCACCGCCAGGCAGCAATGCTGACCACTGTACCTGTACCATTGTACCTGTGCGCAGAATCTATAAAGCATTTTTTATCCGAAAACTGGGGAATGTTTATTTGACACTAATCAACAAGGACAGAAAAAAACATTCACAAAAATGCATTTCTTATCCTCTGCTGTTAAAGGAGCTGAATCTTTAATTTGTAAAACAATCTTTACCTCAGAAACAACAATCATAAACATACCACATACCTTCTCTCTTCACAACTTTTTCAGGTTTAGCTGAAAAACAGAAATAATGAGTGATATGTATTTAATATAATGGTAGGGGCCGTTGATCTCTTCTGATCTCCTCTGATCTCTGGATTCTTCTGTGCTAATGTCATAATTAATTGTATTTGTGGTAGTTGATGATGATTTTTTTTAAGCTTTATTAATCACCTACTGTATCTTAGAATACATTGCACCAAAATATTATTTGCATGCAATGAGTTAATGTAAGTCAAGCACTTCTGTCATATACAGGTTTTTCAGTACTGCCCTTCTGAGCTCAGTCCTTCACGAAAATAACCAATAAATGTCTCATGAGGACCATGCTTTCTTCAGACACTTATACAGTAGGTCATGCTCTTTTCTTGAAATGTTATTTTCTTTCCCAACACATTTGTTCTTAGTCTGCTATTTCTGTTATCAGATTCTTGTAACGTTTTTACAAGTGCTATCAAGGTACTGTAAATTCGATAAGTTAAAAAGTAAAATGCTGAAATACACAGCATAAACATGACATTACCATCCTTCTCTTCTACTTTTTCCAGTTTACCTGTAATGTAAAATGTGAGGTTAAGTAAACCTGAGGGATTGTATACTATCTGAATGCTTTTATTACATTTATAATGACAGAAATATTGTATTTAAACTAGCTAAAAAATCATTCAAATAATCTTCAGTCTTTAGTGCATTTACTTTTGTCTTCAAGTTGAACTTTTTTAAAAATCAACCAAACCACCAAAATAGTAATAACAGATACAAAGAAAGTATACTGCAAGCTTGTTACTTAGTGAATGAAAAAAAAAATGTATACTGTGCTCAATCCACTCTTTAGTATTTTATGCTAATATATAATCTTGCTTATTTATGAGAAATTGAAGGAGCATGCAGCACATGCTGAAAAAAACATGCATGTATTTATTTTGACATGTTTTGTGTTAAGAAGAATGAATAGTTATACATTTTTCTTTTCAGTAACATAGCAATATGCTGAACATCTAAAAATGCACCACATTTCTGCCATAGCGTGTAAATGACTGCAGCTTCTTTTATATCATTTTTTGTTGGACAATCAATAACTCTGCAAGATCACTCTGAACTTTCCCCTGCTGAGAATTGTCTCATACAGTAAGTCCTAGTGTAAGATTAAAAAAAACATTATTATCTGTGGAGCACTTAGTACCGATATAAACCATATCAGTACTGTTGCTCTTCTCAAATTAAAATACTTGTATGACTTTATCCCGTGATCATTTGATTGATTAGAACATAAACGCGTGACAGACCCCGCCGTTAAACAAATTAGCTCTAGGGATTTGAACAAATGAAAAAAATGTAATGGACATACTGGATTAACTGGATTTATTATACCATAACTTGATAATGCTGTTCTTTACCTCTCACTCAATGTATACCAGTCCTGGACAAAAACATATTTAATCCTGCTGCTACAAACAAAGATTTTGTTTTAGACTAAGTTCAGGTCTATCTCTATGGTTGATCATTTGGTTTGAGGCTAGAAGTCAGTCTGGTTAATGACATATAGTATTAGGGTCTCACTCTGAAAGCTCACCCTTAATACAACAGCAGGTGTATACAAAAAGACAAATCTTAAGCATTATGTGACAGTGGTAGTGCTCACTGGCCAAAGTTTTGGAAACTCTTTTTACCACTGGAAACGTGTTGTCTCTGATAAGGTCTCAGCATAATTGGAGATCTGCTCTAGGTATAGTAACTCTAGACTGGCCACTGAAGAGATAAGCTCTAATGTTTTCTGTCCGTTAATAGGTGACATTCACTTTCATGCCACTTCTGTGCTTGCAATCTTATTTGAGCCTCAAAGGCTCTTTAAAACTCTCTCAGCCACACTCCTTTTTTGGTTTAGTTCCTTTTTCACCTTATGATCTCGGCATCCTATAACAATATTCCAAGGGAACAAAACTGAAGTGTTGAAATGCTTAACTTCCTTACAGAGGAACCCTCTCATGAATACAACATCTGTGTGACTTCTCATGTAAAAACCTGATACACATATACTATCAAATACATACGACACCACAACAAACATATATGTCTGTAAGCAACATTCTATTAAGCCAATTTGCCATTGTATAAAAAGTGGTTGTTATTTTGAACAGACACAAAGTTGTGAGAAGATTAATATAAAATTTGAGTGGTGCATAATTAAAAAGTCAACATGGTGTTAAGTGTGAAATCTTAAATGTTTTGCATCCAGTTGATGATGTTATTAAAGAGGAAAATGAAACAATAAATCTTCCAAATGAAGAAAAAAAAAATACTCTCACTTTGGTGGCTACCTGTTACTATTTTAGGTGGAGTCTCCTCTGTGTCTAAAAAATATAAATTCATTAAAATCCAGCTTGAATATTTTTCTTTCAAAAAATTGTGTTTTTCACAAAGACGTCTGGAATGAGGCCTAATTTCTAATTTTTTCCATTATTGCTCTCAAACATATCTTGCTGCTTAACATCCTCCTTGAGATTTTTTCATGTGCCCCTCCCTCCCCCCCAGCCTCTCCTTTGGACCAGCTCCCTGGCTCATTCCTTGTTGCCAGGAGGGGAGTCAGGCAGGTGGCTGTTCCTTCAGCCAGGGGAGTAATGCAAAATAAACTTTAATACAGCTATTCTGTCTTTACATCTCATTAATTAGAACGACGGAATTCTGTTATGGAATTAGTATTAGCCTTTACATTTTAACCATAGTTGGTATTTCATTAGAAAACACCCGTCTTTCACTCATAGCAATGTTTGCTGCCATCAAAACAGTGATGTAGGTAAACCTGGGCTTTAAATGACATGTATAAAAACTGTATGTTTACAATTAAAAAGTCCTGGGACTATAATTGAAATAATATAACTGAAAGCTGACTGTAGCAAACAGAAATGCAAAGAAATGTACATTAATATGTGTTGCATAGATAAATGAAACATGAGAAATTGCTAGCTCACACTACACAAATCATGGAAAATATGATGAGGAATTTCCATGACAACAGCCATAACTTGGGAGAACGTACAGTACATATCTATACAGAAAGGGCTTAGACCCAGGGTTCTGTGAGTATCTTTCTCTTAAAAGTCAGATCTTACCTTTATAATGAGAAGGAGCAAGACATTCTTTTTTTTTCCATCTCAACAACATTTCACTTGATCATTAAGATGTCTATTAATAATGACCAAGCATAATTATCTCTTTGGGTTCATGACTGCAAGACCTCAATTAAAATCTTTCCACCACATTTACTAACTGATTAAATGTCAGGCATGTAGTTATCAATGTGGTACGTGCAACTTAGGGTTAAAGAAAGGGCAGTGACTTCTGTTTTTATCCAACTATCCTTATGGATCATAAATCAGCAAAGGAGTGAAGGGAAAACGTGTCTCAGTTTCAATCAGGAATGGATTTGGGGGTGGTATTTTTTTGTGTGTGCCAGATCTTTATGCCTCACTTTTTTACAAAATAATCATGATGTACTAACAACTAAAATTTACATATTGGCACGCAAAATTGTACAGTAGCTTTTCCATCACGTTGTGCTCTGTAGCCAGTTTTATTAATAAACACCCAGCTCACCTGGGTGAAGAGCAGGTTTCTGTATTCTGCCTGTGGGCCAATCTCTTTGCTCTCAGTCATCTCAGACCATCCTGACTCTGTGCCATACAGTATGTTATAGATTTTCAAAACGCCCAGTGAAGCAGCAGAGAAAAAAACAACACACTTACGTTGAGCTGCTTTTGGTTTTGCCTCAGGTTTCTTCTCAACTAAAAACAAAGAGCAGATCAGGGCCACATTTAATTAATCATCATTGTTAGGAAAATTAAAGGGAACAACTAAGTAAAAGCTGATGCGGAGTTCCTGTTGACATCATACAACATCACAAGAGGCGAAATCTATTAAATCATTTTTTTAAAATGTATTAAGGATACAAGATGATTTACTTAAACACAAATAATATTATAAAAGGGTAAAAATAACATGTAAGTAGCAATAGCATGCCAATTCCTTCAGTCGTGGCGTGTGCTTGGGCAGAATAGCAACAATAAATTGGTAAGGCTAGTTAATCACACACTATTTTCTCCCTGAGTACTCCAAGAGCAAGATCATACATTTATAACACTGATTTTACCTGCACTACTAAATCTAATTGCAGTTAGGGATTTAGTTTGTATTAATATGGTTATAGCACTAGTGGCTTCAAAAGATAATTTGTGTGAAAGTAATTCATGACTCTCTCAGAAAGTACAGCCCTATTGCGCTTTCCTTCTGTGAAGCTGAATGATGTTGTTTATTTCTTCTGCATGATCAGAAGAATCATGTGTTCACAACAGATAGGTTATAAAATGTTTATGAATGTGAAGCAGTAACTTAGAAATCTTTGTCTGAGTGCAGGGAGATGGATGTAAGGCATTCTGAATTAAGGAAAATATGGATTGTTTTATAAGTGTTTAGGAAATTACTGCAGTTTCCCTTGACATTTTCACACTAGAATAATATTGTATTCAGATTTAATTCAGATTTTTACCTCTCAGAAGTCTACAAAGAGAAAAAAAAAACAATGTGTTTCCATATAGAAGTCTGTATCTTGGCAACTAATATACTCTTTATGAGTGCAAATAAAAAAATGTACAAATTCATATTACAGAAAACATTCATCACATTCAACACACCACTCCTATGACTAGCTCTTTTTTAGCCTTAAGTAAGGAAATAAGTAACACTATCAAGTAATTTTGTACAAAGCTATTACATTTAGCCGTAAGCTACCCATAAGGGTGTAATGTATTACACATATATAACCGTCCACTTAGTTGAACACTGTCAGTGCCAACATTCAAAGCAGATTGCAAGCCAGCTTCTGCATTTTGTAAGTTGCGGAGCCTTAATAAATGATAGCATCAGCATACTGCAGACTGCCCTGATTGCAATACCTTTTCTTTCGCTTTGTTTAATAGGAGGTTGTTTTCTTCTAGCTTAATGTAAAAAAAAAAAAACAAGACAAACACCAAAAAACATAGAGCCTTATATTCCAATGAAACATTTACATGTTTCAGAAAGCAAAATGGACTTAAGTGTCAAAATATGACCCATATATTTCAATCATAATGTTTAACAACTCATACATCACTAATGCTCCATTTAAAAATGATATATTTATTTACAAAATTAAAGTATAAAAACACAATATATGTTTTTGACAAATTTATTAAACATGAATCATTTACCTGTAACAATAGTATTACATTTAAAAATGTAAGAGAGAGTAACTCAACTGTGCACACATTTATTCATTAGCCTAAAATACGACCATTAATATGAATTAATGAGCACAGAAACATGTGCATGTTTTAAACTTCAGAATGACCATTTTTCTCTATTTACTTATGTGCTTTTGTAATATCTTTTGTGTAGTCAGGCAAAGAATACTCTTTGTCAGGAAGGAAAAAGTAAAAATAAATTCCAAAAATTACAGACAAATTAGGATACCTGTTTCCTTTGGTGGTGCAGATTCCTCCACTTTGGGTTCTGAAAAGTTGATAAGGATTTCGTTAGCTTCAGTATTACAAAACCATCATATTTCCTGCCCACTTTGTCCAATTCAGAGTCACAGGGGAGCCGGAGCCTAACCCTATAAGCAACAGGCACAGTGCATACAAGGATACACTCTGGACGGGACCCAGTCCATCACCAGGAAACCCACTCATATACAGAGAGACCGTACAAACTCCACACAGAATTGAACCTGAGCCCCAGCACTGTGAGACAGCAATGCAAACCACTGTGCCACCATGCAGCCCATTGAAAGACACACAGTATATCAGATGGAAAAATAATTCAACCGTATCGTAGACAGTCAAATAATTATCTTTAGCGTGATTATTTTCATTAGAATTGGTATACGGTATTCTGTGGTTTTCAGTTTTATTATTTATTTCCCCTGTAGCTCTAAGGTCGGTGTTTACAACATATGTTCAACTGTCAAAAAATTACATAGTTCAGTTCAAGACCAGAGTGAGCCAGAGCCCAACCTGGCAGACAATGGGAACATGATAAGATACACCCTGGACTTTCAGGATGCCAGTCCATTGGCATCAGACAACCTTGCACAATGTAGGAATGACACTAGACCTGCACTGCTTGTCTTTGGGCTTGGGAAGGGAACTGCACACATAGGGTGCCTAAGGCCGGAATCAAACTAAAGAACCAGAGCTGTGAGGAGGCAGTACTAATGGCCAACACACCATGATGCCCACTATCACATCGGTAAAACTCAAATGACCTTTTTGGTCATTTAGATGGTGAAATAGTGACATTTAGACTGTGATTTTTTTGTTTTGTTTTTAACAAAACCTGGACAAAATGAAATTCAGCGAAATAGCGAATAGAGAAAAGAAATTAAACTATTTGATAATAATAATGATCTGAGTGCATTCTGATTTTAAAAGGGTACAGTATGTGTGTTTGCTTCACAGCTTCATTTCTTGATTTGTTTTCTTTAGGTAATGTTTGAAAATTGAAGGGCACAGAAGCATCAGTTTTAAGGCTAGAAACCTCAAAGAAAACATTTAATGTAAAAAGCACTGGCGGAAATTTCAAGAACTGTTCTCTGTAGTTCATTTTATAAAGTTCAAATAAAGAGGATAAAAAGGTGTGATATTAAATTCCTAGAATGTCATGAATCTGCTTTATTCCAAACCCTTTCTATAATCAGCTGGAGACTGATTTGTATTAATTTAATTATATTTCTCGAAATCTCATTTATTGTCAAAGAATGAGTATATGGTACTTTATTGCTTTAAAACACAAAAGATGTATTACAATTCATTGAATGTCTATGTCTCATAATTAAACTGAGTGCCACATTTGCGAAAGTAATAACAGTTCACCATGAAGATCAAATCACTAAAACACACAGAGAAGTCAAACTCATGTAAAAAAATGACTAAAAAAAAGCAACGAAGTCAATGGTTGATTTTGCATGGATAGTTTACTTGTTCTGGGGCTTGAATGCTTTCTTTTATGGGGCTCTGTAGGAATATGAAATATATATTAAAACTATTGATTGGTAGGAACTGCAATCTCCGAATTATATGTAAATCCTAACATTACCTCTGTGTGATTAATTATATCTTTAGCAGATGAAAGTATTGCAAGAGAGCATTTTCATATTTTCCAACATGTAAATTTTATCACTTTATTGCTTAACCCTCTAGCTTAAGCCACTTTCCAAAAACATAATCTACATTATTAAATCAACATGCAACATTCTTAATCTTTTCTTATTCATAGCAGATTGCACAGAAAAGA